GAACAGATGAAACACATGGAGGGAAAACGTGGCTCTACAGTCTGAGAATGTGCACAGAAGTTTCATAGATTTACAAGACAATCTGTTTCCAGCTCAGGTCACTGGAGACAGATTCGGGTGCAGGAGGCATCAGTTTCACTCCCTCTCTCTCGCCTCTCAGGCTTCTTGTCATTCTGCACAGCATTTCTCGCCTTTGGCCAGTCTTTCCAAGTGAAGCCGCTGGATCATATCCTGAAGCTGCTTTAAGCTGCAGGGAGGAAGAGAGGGGGAACTCTGGGAAAACACTCGTCACTTCACTCAGCTACACCTCCACACTGTGGCAAGAGGGGGGGAGCCAGTGGGGGTGGGGACAAGAAATGTTCTCCATCCTGGATTTAACTGGAATACTGCTCTCTGATTGGCTGCAGCTGTCTGTTACAACCGTCTGTTTAACCTCTGGACTCAATCAGAAGCAAAGGTCTGAACTGCCATGGGGAGGGGGAGGGGGGGACACGTTACACTAACTAAAAGACACTTAAACCCCCCCCCCGGGCACCTCTAACCTAATTCAAAACCTCAGGGGACACCAGCGCCTAACTGAGAACCTCTGAAGGGCCACTGAAAAGTCATTAAGGGCCCCAATAAAAGAGACGATGTGCATGTTTGCCTACCCCAGGTCTGCTGGAGGCGGGTCAAGGCCCCTGTAACTGCTCTGACTGGCAACAGGGAGGACCCGAATGCAGACTCGGATTAGAGCTTGATAAAGAAACCAGGTTTAATGAAAATAGACAAAGAACAACAGGCAACAGAGAACAAAACCTAAAGGCTCAAACCTGACTATATACAAAACTACAGCCAGCGAGCAGCCTGATGAAACAAGGAACGCAAGTAATAGAAGTAACAAAAGATAGGAACAAAGAAAAAACTCACAAACCAAAAAAAAGGAGGGAGTGAAACCTGAGCCCATATAACCGAGTCCAAAATCAAGGAAAAGGAGAAGTGAGTGACAGGAGCAAGATGTGGAGCAGAGCACTGGACAAACCAGCAAACCCCTGTGAGGGAGGCCAGGTGGTTATAAAGGCCGAGCTAACAGAACGACGAGTGGCAAATGGTGGTGTTGCTAAGCTGGGGATGGTGAACCAGCACAGAACAGGAAGTGAGACCAAACCATGACAGTAGCACCCCTAACAATGTCTGAAAACTGCTCAAGGCCCTACAAACACCTCAGCAACCCAGACCTGCTCAGGGGCTCCTGGAGCCTCCCCAGGAAAATGGAAATAATGTAGAAACTGCTCAAGGATGCCTGGGACCTCATGAAGAAGCTCTGGAAACCCCTGAAGGACTCCTTGACCTGACACTACTGTGTTCCGGCACTTAAACAGCTTCATCTTCTCCTCTGTAAATAAAGGTCCTGAACCAAATCTGGACTCGCTCACTTGGTAAAATAAAACATGAACTGTTGTCATCAGTTCCTCTTGGATGAGGCCAATGGGACAGCAGTGTATGTGTGTGTGTTCACAGCGAGTCTCTCTCACACGTGAGTGTGGGAAACTCCTGAAGGAAATGACAGTACGATGCTTCCTCGTCTCCTCTTCTATTATCCACAGCTCGCCTGTTTTGCATTTAACAGCTCATTTCACATTCATGAACGCACTGCTGGCATGATGAGCGTGCTCTGGAAGCGCACCGGTCTCAGTCTGAACTAAGAACGTGTGCACAGCCTGGCTGCCGCTCTGGCAGGACCAGCGGGGAAAGGCAGACTCACAGGAAATCGTAGGACGCTGTGATGCAGCCACCTGTCGGGGCTCAGCCCCACGATGCCTTCGGGGACATGCGGTGTTGTTGTTTGCTATCAATCAAACTCCAGGCAGTTGTTCGCGCTCCTTCACTGGAGTGGAATCTGTCTGCGGATGCCAACACACCGAGAATCCTGAGAACCTCAGGAGCAGACCGGAGTTTGTCCAGGTGTCAGATGCATACAACTGCTTTGGTGTCTGGTTCTCTGTCTTCATGACAAGGAGTTTACCACAGCAGCACTGCAACTTCTCAGACAGACAACAACATATTTCCATGATATTATGACACAGTACACACACTCAGTGGTCAGTTTATTAGGGACACCTGTGTCAGACTGAGCCAGTAAACCCTTCTTCATGAAGGTGATGATGTTCAGTTTTACCTGGAGTTTGTGCTGCTGCACTGAGAGCTGTAGCTAATACACCAAGAAGAGCGTGGCCTTATCTTGTCACACAGGGGAACGTCCTTGTTATTAAAATGGTCTTTTTAGTAGTATTTGTCATCAAACTCACAACAGGTTGTTTAAACAGCAGGCTCACTTATGTCCTTAAATAACCTCAATGTATCTGCTTATAAAACAATGCTGTTACGGTAACAATAACAGCATGAACACATTGTCCTGATGTGAGAATTTGCAGCTTTACGTTGTTGTGCTGTCCCACAACAGCATGTTGAAGTTAACTTGGCACCGCATCTCTGGCTCTGTGCTGCTCCGCTCCTCAATTATATTTCATTTGATCTCATCCCACTTTCTTCTCACATTTTCTATATGTCTGGATTTCCAAAGCTCTGATCACAATAAATAATTGTAGTGTTTTTTTCTGCCCAGTCTTTCCCCAGTGAGTCAACATGCAGATGGAGAATCCGTCACAGTCGGCATCAGGTCCGACTTTATTACTGTCACAGTGTGTTACTGTCGAGTGGGAGTAATTTATAACTGCTCTACCAGAAAACAATGATGTAACACTGAACACAACACAAAAGGACTCACTAACGTCGTTGTGCACTAAACTCAGTGGAAACCAAGTAAGCTGGACCTGTTTTAAGTCTGTTTGGTGTGTTTTTCTTACTTGGTTTAGGAAAATCTGATGATCAGAGGCACCTCGATATTGTTGTCCTCTCCGGCTACATACATGAGGGGATCAGAATATTAGGAACACCTGTGAATGTCCTGTAGTCCAGTACAACACCACCTTTAACTACGACCTCAGTAATAAACATAGTAATGAATTTATACATTTATGACAATTTCACCAGAAACTGAAACATTCTGAGCTTCATAAACACAGATGTTAAGGTGGAAGTGTTGCACTGAACGATACAGGTGTACCTAATAAAGTGGCCGGTGAGTGTACATTGTCCACAGTCTGCAGGATCTTTCAGAAACGGATGCGTTCACAGGTATGTTTCCTTTTACCAGCTGACCACATGAAACGCTTGCCTAAAACGCCATCGTCTGTGACACGCAGCCCGTGTGACCTGGACGAAGACCCAACAGCTCGGTCCTCTGAACTCCTGCAGGCCCTCGCCGCATGTTCCTGAGGTGAACACTCTCTAATGGAGATAACAACAGGCTCTATTCACAACACACCCCCACATAAAAGCAAAGCTCGCAGCTCTTGTCAGTGCTATCTGTAAATGGGATCACAGATTAGCATTGCAAAAGGAGGCAGAGGCCGGACCGTCCATTGTGAGCCTTCGTCTCGTCGCTCCTCTGCGTCGTCCCGCCGACGGAGGAGGCAGCACTGCCAACAAAGACGAGAGTGAGTGGAAGGCAGCGGTGATAAACTGGTGTTGAACAGAAAGCCTGAACACGCTGGCACCTTTCATGGCCTGATGCAATGACATTTACTTATCACACTAAACAGCCTTTCATCTGACCTTTCTGCTACTTTGAATGACATCTGGATATTCTGACAGAATACGCAAGGACAGTAAAAGCACTGATTTAAGAGACAGATAGAGAGTCATTGGACAGCAGACAATGAGTCTGAAGGACGAGCCGAGGAGGACAGGACCGACACACCGGGGAAAATGTTTACTTCCCTTCCAGCGTGTAGAAACGGCTCAGAGTGAAGAACAAACTTTATCCCGGTCGGCATCAACAAGACCTGAGTCCAAAGACCTGTAACCTTTCCTCAAAGCTCTTTCTCTGTGCCAGAGAGCTGCAGTTGAACAGTACCTGCTCATGCTGCTTGTCCAGAACAGGATCAATGAGACCTGGCTCTGGACATAACAGATTTTCCTTTGGTGAATGTAACAAGCTTCTGTACGAATCTACACTACAAAAGCTACGAGCATTATCACTCCTCCTGCTGCTGTGATATGTGGGCAGTGTCGGGGACATTCTTCTTCTGTGTCTGAGTTACTCTGAATATGATAAACAGGTTTCCACTCAGTGTTCTTGCCTGATAGCTCACTGAGCCCTCCTTCATTGTCATGTTAACATTACCCCCCCAGTGCCTCAAGTCTTGGACTGAACTTCCAGAATATGCAGCACAGGACTCACACTCCTGTTCTCTCACACCACAGCCAATGAAAGCCCTGCCCCAGCCCCACAGTCTTCCATGTGCTTTAGCGAGAAACACAGAGAGAAGTACGATTTTTGCTGTGACAGGACTATTTGGTTCCTGGGAGCCGAACAAACCTGACAACAAGAAACGCAGTGTTTCATCATGAATTTAGACCCGCCCTCCTCCAGATGAGCGTTCGTCGGTGAGCGTGAATCAGTACTGTTGTGCTAGTCAAACCATCTTACCAGTGTAGACAAAGCGTCCTGGCGCTCCTTTGCAGAACTGTTTGGACTTGTAGGACAGAGTGACCTCCACGACCCCTGGGATGTGGCGAGGGGGAGTCTGGACCCGGATGGCGTGAGGGGTGATCAGCTGCACCAGAAAACACAAACAGTTCAGGTGAAAACACTGCTAGGACTGCAGCAAACGGTGCTGGAACTGCCTGCTGTGAAAACCAGTTTAACCCAGATGATAACTGGGACACTATACACACACACACACACACACGCTTACAACAGTGATGGCTGTGCTTGCTGTAAAGGCCTCATCCACTTCAAACGAACTCGTTTGAGCGCCCTGTCCCCCTGTAGCTACCTCAGCCACACTGAAGTGAGGCGCACAGGTCGCCTTTACACTCAGACACAGGACTACACAGCAGGAGCCTGACTGACTTTACTACCTAAAGGGAGGAAGGCTTATAGAATAAAGTCAGCACTGCATGTCTGTCCGTCTGTTCTCGCCTATTGTTTATGAGCAAACCGAGGGTTACAGGGTTTCTACTGTTGTGAACGTCCACACCAACAGGCGGGCTGTCACAGAGGAGAAGGCAGCGTAATATCGTTTAAAAACGGCACTAACAGGACCTCCTGGAAGCCATTTACAGTGCTGGGAAAGACGTTTCCTCACTGTGCACAGGACAAATAAACACTTTGACCTTGACCTCAGCTGTTTACATGAAAAGTGACAATTGTTCTAAACCCAACTTCATAAATCAAACGTTTCAAAAAGTGCCACACATTGTCGGAAGCCGAGTTTGAGTTTCAGATGCTGATTGGAGCCCCCACCCCCCGTGACCCTGTTTAGGATAAGTGCTGAAGATAACGGATGGATCTGGCTTTGAATCATTATAGTAGTATAATAAAACAGTAGTGTGCACACCCGGAACCAGCTTTGTGACCAGTGAAAGAAGCTGTGTCTTATTTCAGAGGGAGGGTTCTTCAGGGGCGTCGTGGTTACAACAGAACCTGCCACAGATTATTTCAATGTTACAGTGATGCTGGAGTGACGCCGCTGCACGTGCATCGTTTGGTGATTGATATCGAGTCATGGCGGCTTCACGGGCTGATTTACAGCCGGACACAGCCGAACCACGAGACCGAAGAACAGCTGGTTTCATCAACTCACACACACACACCGTGCACAGCTCGCTTCAGCGCCCAGCCCCCCCCCCACCTCACCTCTCATGGAGTCTGAGTGTTCTCGTATATGTATAAGATCTATTGATTGTTTTTGTTTATTTATTGTGTCTTTATTATTGTGTGTACACCACTGGGAGAGGCTGGGACAATTTCACTGTATCGTGCAGTGACAATAAACTCATTATTCATTCGTTCATTTCTGCTGTACGTCGAGGTTTTACTTGTCTGCTTTCGTGGGAAGAAGACCCAGAAGGAAGCCAAACGTATTTTAGTAAAGTAATTAAATCCTTGTTTTTGCTGATTCTTCCAAGTTTGAAACATCAACTCAAAAGCCTTCATTTGTCTTCAAACAGATCATAAACTGGACCCAGTGAGACACCGTGAGCTCTGGTGTCCAGGGAGGTTTCTGGAACTTGTACTGGTATTAATATGGCCCCTCTTGTTGGCAAAAGCCTGCATCACAAGATTTTTCTTTCTGTAAAAACTTTCCAATCTAGGTCAGCGTGTTCGGAGCGACGCTGGGCTTTGGAGTCTGTCTGCTCGCCACCAGACGATGCTGATCAAAGTCAGGAGCGTGTGATGTGAGGCAAACAGCGTGTGGAGGTATATCTGTCGGCCTCCTTCCCCCGTCCCTGCCAGGTGTTCTGCTCTTCTGGACCTGCTTCAATATTTCATGCTGCACCGTATGTGCAGCTCCTCCTGCAGCTCAACACACACTAAATCTACATATTTTTGGGGACATGCTACAGATACAGACGCAGGTGTTTCTACGAATGTGTGAGCGTCGACGAATGTGTGTGTGGATGAAGAAGATGGAGAACATGACGTATGTGCAGCTGCTTTCGAGGCACCATCTCTGTGCCAAATATTGTCTTTCTCCAAAGTCTCTGGATCAGGTGAGCACGGGGAGCGGCTCTGACAAACTCACTGCTGTCACAACTTACTGGAAATGAAAAAGGGAAACAGTAGGAAGTCGGCTGTGGAAAAGAAGCTGCAGGTGAGCACTGTGCTCTGAGGGCGACAAATGGGACCAAATGGAGAGTCACACTTTTCACTCTTCAGCACAATAAAGCATTTGTTAATCACCTCTGTCTGTGTGTAATCTAATCATCACAGCTGCTCTCTCTGAACCACAGCTGGAATCAGTCATCAGTTATTCAATCAGCAGAAAGCATCCCGGCGACTGATTCGGTAATCAACATTCACAAGGCTAAAAGCTCAGATATCAGAACGTGTCCTGTTCCTGCTTCCTCAGATTTCTTTGTTTTACATTAACCATTCTGGAGATTTGGACTGTGAATCTGATAGAAAACAGAGAGAGATGGCCATTTTCTGCCAGGTCATAAACCAAACTACTATTTGAATAACTGAACAAATCATCTGCTGATTAGCTCATAATGAAAATGTTGCAGCGCTACTCAAAACGTGAACATGTCTTTTTCTCTGAGTGATTATTTGTGTGTAATTTGAGAATGCAGACAGAACGACTAAGCTCTGGTTGTTGTTGTTGTGCATTTCCATAGAGAAAAGAAAAACTACATATTTTACACAATGGTTAACTTATTTGTGATAATGTTGGATTATTCTAACTGCACTAATCTGTTAGAAGCATTTTGAATATATACAGATTACTGAAGTATCGAGTATAGATTACACAGTACAATCATTTTCCTTACCACCCCGTTAGTCTATAAAATGCCCAAACTATTAACAATTCATATCATATTTGCTAAAATGGTGGCTTCGAACGACTTGGTACGCTCAAAAACCTAAAGCAGTCAATTTAGAACTTCCAGTAACGGTACCTGGCATGTTTTAATGAGCCTACTTAAAATTGGTAAAAGATTCAATTTGATATCAATTTGTTTTTCAGAGCTACATCTCACCAAACCCAAAACACATCTGGCATCCATTAGAAAACAATTCTGTAATCTCAGTAAGAAATGAAATGCCCTCTGACCTCGCTCCAGACCAGCATGGTGCCGAAGACCACCTGCAGGCCATCGAAGAAGTTGTCCCCGATGAGGATGACAGTGGCGCCGCCGGTCGTCCAGCCCTCGCTCGGGCTGATGGCTTTGATGCATGGCGTGGCTGCTTCGGAAACAGACACCACGGGAACATGAGCAATACAGTTAGAAAGCCAAAACACAACATGCTGCAACACAACACTTCTTAGAGCTCGCACAGAAAACTCAAATGACATTGTTCCACACTGCAAAAGTGTGAGATGAAATATCTCAAAGCATCAAGGTAACAGATGTTTGGTTGCTGATCAGTTTGCATGTTAGAACATTTCACTTGTTCGAAGCCTTTTGTCCTTAATTGTGTTGATAAGATATTACAACGCTGGTTCTGAGCTGCTTAATGCTGATAAAACTGCTTGGTATCAGATGAAAGTACGTGGTTCTAGTTCAGCTGCACTAGGTTTAATACCTCCGTGGGTTCTGACACTACATACTTCTACTTGTTTCTAAACACCACAGCATGTGAGGTCTTCCTGTCCTGTTGGCAGATAACTCTTCTTATCTTGAGTCATGTTTCCCATTTTATTTCTGGCACTGAGGCTGCCGACTACAGAAATGCCTGCTTCATTATCCTTCAATTTTGGTCCCTGCTGAAAGAAAGTGGGCTTTTTCCTGGACAATTTGTCATGAATCAGAAATGACATCCAGACCATCTTCCTTATTTTCCTCTGCTTCAGAGTCAAACATCTTCCCAGTTCAACTCGTGTCTCATCAGAGATCATGTTACTGGACAAACACATGAGAAGTGGTGTGTGAAAAGTCACATTTGAAGCGGTTTGGCAAAAAGTGAATTGAGCTAAAACACAAGGCAAAATATACAAACTGTTGAGTCTGACTGGGGTGCTACGTTGACCTTTGACCTCCACCCTAACTGTTTACACGTCACTTTGTTTGTTACATCCACAGAGAGCTTTCAGTCAGAGCTGATCTCCCAGCAGCCTGCTAGTCCACCACTAACGCATGCAAACTGATTGTTTTCCAGTGCCACGGAGATCAATAAGGGGCTCCGCGTAAACAGCGTCTCCGTGATGACTAGACTGGTGTCCGGTCAGAGTCGAGCCGAGGCAGCCAGGCGGACGGACGAGGCTCAGCAGGTTTACAGGCTTTTCCCGGACCGAGACGTTTTACTGGGAGGATGGTTTGATATTCCAGTCAGAGCGCCGGGTTTCCTATTGTTTACTATGTGGTCTGATCTATAAAGCTGTGTTCAGACCCTATTAAACATTCCAGTTGCAGTTTTCACCCCTGTCAGTAGAGTAATGACCTTCTGATACTAGTTCCTGGCAGCTCATGGAAAAGGGAAGGTGCAGAGTATCTTTGATATCTTTCATACATCGATTAAACATTTTTAATTATTCATCCTGAGGGTCCTTTGTGGCTCAGACGGCCCCTCTGGAGACATGGGTGGAACCTTTTTTCTGAAGTTTCTGCTGCGCACCACATCGTCTCTACTGTTTTCTGGTCCATGAAAACTGCTGGAAATGTGCACGAGTGAGCAGTAGTTTGCTTCCGGTGCACAACATACCATTTCTCTTTGTGTGCATCAGACATTTCCAGGAGAGCACCACCCAGATGTCACCAGCTTATACTTAAACATGCACAGAAAGTAACGTCCAGCCAAATACAGGACATGACAGTCACATACAAACTGGTTTTCAAAGTCAAAGCTGGAAGCTGGCTACAAACTTCAGGCTACTCGCTGGCTCCGCCCCCTCTGGTTACAGCATCAACTTCTGAAAGTCGCTCCGAGTTTCCAGATGAAAGGAATTCCCGGCTCAACCTCTCCGAACCCATCAGCTGCAGCTGAGCGTCGAGGCTTTTCCTGCCCCGAGGAGTCGATTGTCATCTCCTTATTAATTTCCCCCTTTGTCACAGCAGTAAACAAACAGTCCAGCGGGTCTGACGAGGGGGGTGGTGAACAGAGCACAAAGGAGAGGAGCAGGCGGTGGAAAGTTTTATCAGGGAGACGGGGGGGTTGAGGCCTGGTGACAAAGGCAGGAGCAGATGTTGGAGCTCTTTATCGCCTCTGAAAACATCCCAGTCTGGAGGAGATGAAAGGCACCGGGCTTTTCCTCCGTGGGCTGGCTCCTAAACAACAGGCCCCTTTTGGCCCCTGCAGGACACCGTACAGGACCCTTAGCACCTTCTGTGCTGACTTGATGAAGTTTCCACAATGTCTCAAAGTGTTTTCACAAGTGAGAAGCAGCTCAGCTTGCTGAATGACATATCTGTGTCAAGCAGCATTTGTTTTATCCCTCTGGATGTGCCAGACAGGTGGGGTTTGCAGCACAGGACAGCACATTTGGAGTTAGAAAGTTTGGGCGACCACATTAGTTCAGCTTACTCTGCTTTTTCTCTGATCAACAACCTTATCCTGTCTGAAAGGCCCCAGCATGATAAACACCACCCATCTGGTGCTGCAAGTAGGCAAACCAAATGAGACAATTACATCACTGACTCCTGGAAAAAAGTCAAACTTTAAAACAAGGTTTTTGAAGTCTGGCTGGTGCCAAAGTGTCCCAGAGTTAGTTTTACTCCTTTGATCATCCCGTGAGGGTGGAGCTTGGCCAAATGTAAGTCAAGTTCAGACAAAAGTTTGTGAAAGTGAACGCTGATTCAGTATAGTGTACTTTTTGATGGGATATCCTGATGTGGTAAGCCCCACCCGTCTGCTGTTCCAAGTAGGTTAAAACCAGCCAACACGCTGCACCACCTCAGCTGAAAAATACTCAAACCTTAAAACAAGTGGAGGGAAACTGCAAAGTGAGGTGGTGGCCTTTTGATGTCGGCTACAAAATAATTTTAGGGTTCGTTTTACTCACTGTGATGTCACAGATGGGTGGCGTTTACCTCAGAGTACTACAGTGATGAGTGGTGAACAGGTTAAACTAAAGGTCAGTATAGTCTGCTCTTTACTTGCTGACAGTTTTACATAATTCTACTGATGCTCTGCCCGTAGTGCTCATCCTGTTTGTTACACACACTCTAAAGGGTCATTCCACTCATTTTACATTTGATCCTCATCCTGCTTCGTCCTCCTCAGCCTGTAATAACAGATCTATGACATCCACTACAATGTCTAATGCCCCGTCTGTGCTATTATCTGCAGGCTCTAAGAAAAGCACTGTCCAGGTGCATTGTGGGAAATGTTGGAACCACTGATTTTGGACTAAAAGTGAGGATAGCTCCACCTCTGCCGCTCAGATTTGGGCCTTCATCACAATCATCCTTTAAGACCTGAGGCTAAAATGGCCTGGGCAAGGCTTTGGTCTGAGTATAAAACAGAGACAGACTCAACTGTTAGCAAGGGCAGCGTTTCATTTGCTCAGCAGACATTTAGCTTTCAAGTTATGTTACTTATTTGGCTTTTCTGTGCAACCCAACAGATGAAACCATGTGTACACAGGAAAAAGGAAATATTTGTTCACATTTTTACCAATTAAACCCTGAAATAACACAGATCCAAACAATGTGAACACATCAGCCTCTTGTTTCACTTTCACTCTCTGGTGTTTCCTGTCAGTTTTAGTTTAGTTTCCACTGTCTCCAGGTGGTTTTAGGGCTTTACTGGTGCAGAAGTCCTGGCTATGTAGGGGTTTTTTATCTTTTCGATATTTCAAACACTCTTTTGGTAAAATTCTCTCTCCTTGGTCTGTCAAGTAAAAATGTTTGTGTTCTTCTCGAAGTGACGTCTTACCTTCGGAGGGGTCCAGGCGTCGGGCGCGGCGGCCATGTTTGGAGTTGTTGTGGACGAACATGTTGTCTGACACGGCCAGCACGTGACCATCCACGTTAACTGTAGTGGAAACTACCACCTGCACACACAAATCCCAACCCCCCCCCGCCAGGGTCATTCACAGCAGCTCCATCTCAGTCTGTCTGTGGCTGCAGAGCAACACTCACCTGGAACCGTCGCATGTCTCGAGGGTTTCCTGCGTTTTTCAGGCAGTTCTGATTGCATTTGAGGAAGAACTTCAGGAAGAATCTGGAAGCAGGACAACACAAAAACAGAGCAGATGAGTTTATTGCTCAGAGTCATAACAGCTCCAGATTATAAACCACACACACTGTCCTTCTGTCTGCTACAGCTACATGGCAGTGTGGCAGAAACATTCAGTTCAAAGTGTTTATTTGTCATATGCACAGTTAGGAAACATGTTTCCCTGTACAATGAAATTCTTACTTTGCCGTCCACATGAATGCCACAAAATACAAATGAAATATAAAGTAGATAAATAAGTAACACTAAATCTAAGGCACTTTGAGCAGCAAATGCAGCAATATAATAAAAATATATAAGAATATAATAAGA